GTTCAGAAATCCTTGAAAGCATATAGTGTGTTTACTAAATGTTTCATTTCTGGAGCCAGGCTGTCTAGCTCAAATCCAGGCTCTGCCTCTTACGGATTGGTCCTGAAAGAGATTTTCAATTCCTCCATGCCTCAGCTTTCTCACCTATCATGAAAGTTAATAATACTAATTTCCCTATTGGGGTTATGTGAGGATTCACATAAAAATACATAAGACGACGACTGAATGTAGCCCTCAAGTTTTGTTAGCTATTTTTTATCCTGTTTACCCTGAGAGAATAATATGATTCAGAGTGGTGTGGATAGATTGGGGGACAGGGTAGATGGGGAGATGGAGTATGAAATTTTAACTGTGCTGGCTCCATCCACTCACACTTTAGAACACCACAGAAATGGTTCTGCCACTGGGAAGGAGGAACAGACAGAAGTGATTCTCTACCTCTATGGGTTGAGTTCCTAGAAAAATATGAGTCATACAGGAGAGAGAAAGGAGTAAGAAAAGTTCTCATATTTACTTTCAGCCAATCAATCTATCTCCTCTGTAAAACAAGAATAACAATGTTAGAACTATAATTTTCTAACTGCCTCTCTTTCTAGACTGATATTTGAGGCCAGGGAAGGGTCTGGGACAGTGTGTTTAATGCCTGTGACAATTCTTGACACTAGCATCCTCTCAGTAAGTACAATTATTTTAAAAGAAAAAAGGAGAAACCTGAGACAACTTTTATTATTCTTTTCTGAGACGGAGTTTTGCACTTGTCGCCCAGGCTGGAGTGTGGTGGCATGATCTCGGCTCACTGCAACCTTAGCCTGCTGAGTTCAAGCAATTATCCTGCTTCAGCCTCCTGAGTAGCTGGGACTACAGACTCCCACCACCATGCCTGGTTAATTTTTATATTTTTAGTAGAGACGGATTTTCACCATGTTGACCGGGCTGGTCTCGAACTCCTGAGCTCAGGTGATCCGCCCTCCTCTGCCTCCCAAAGTGTTGGGATTACAGGCGTGAGCCACTGTGCCTGGCCCTGAGACAACATTTTTTTTTTTTTTTTTGAGACGGAGTCTCGCTCTGTCGCCCAGGCTGGAGTGCTGTGGCCGGATCTCAGCTCACTGCAAGCTCCGCCTCCCGGGTTCACGCCATTCTCCTGCCTCAGCCTCCCGAGTAGCTGGGACTACAGGCGCCCGCCACCTCGCCCCGCTAGTTTTTTGTATTTTTTAGTAGAGACGGGGTTTCACCGTGTTAGCCAGGATGGT